ACGCTCCACTTCATTCCACCACATTGTTTCACCTCACAAATCACTCTAAATTGGCTCCAGCTAGAGGAACACACAACCTCTCTAAACTGTTTAATAACGTCATTAATCATCCCGCTTTGACTTCACTTTGGCACCGCCGGCTCTATAAGTGGCCTGAAAGTGGGTTACGATTTAAGGTGGGGCCCCGAGCTACGACAGGGGGCCCCAAAAAGCTCTGAATTAATTGGCCTTCATCTCGTGGTCTTACAAATGTTCGACATGGAGTTAGGACCTCGCTCCAGATTTCTGCTCGTATTTTCGGGGGGTTTGTTTGACACGCATGAAAAATTCTCTCTGGTGGAGTGAGGACCGAGAAAGATAAACAGTAGAAGATGTTCAAATGTGATCTCCACTGTTGGAAACTGTGTCTCAGAAATGATTAACACTTCGAACTTCAAGCTATATTTTCCTATTTTTGGTCCGCCTGTTTTTTTTTTTTTGCAAAAATCTATATAGCAACTCTATCCTTTCAAGCACAGCAAATATATACACATCTTTTTTTTTTTTCAGGACAATTTCAGCTGTCAGTTTTATGGTGCAAAAATTATGTAAAATGACTGTAACAGTAGATCCAGAACCGTCAAGCTCAACCAAAAAACAAAACAGAAGTTGATACCAACAGTACTTTGCACAAAAAACACATAAATCTACAGTGACCAAGCCTTTTCTCACCTGCACATCATTCTCTCAAGTCTTGGCTCTCAGGAGAAGAAATATTGGGATTGGAACAAACACACAACAGAAACTATTTACATATTTACACTAATTCTTCCAGGCGTTTTTTTGCTATTTACAGTTGTTTATGCCACTTCTTGAAGCAGTTCCTGTCTGGGATGAGACAGAGGACCACATCATACTGCTCAGAATCTCTTCTTTGCTTGTTTCCAAACATTGAGGACCATTATTTCTTATTTTGCAGACAAGCAGGGAACTTTCTTGTCTCTTGTTGATCTTTGGTTGCCTCTTATTGGACACTACCGTCAAGAGAACGATAGAAGAAGAATATGAGATCATGTAATTGGTTGAAAGTTTGACAGAAAAAGACGTCATCAAAACAGCTTGTTAAACCCAGAGGACATTAGCAGCATTTAGCGATAGCCATCTTATTTTATCACAACAATATGATAAATAATCATGTTTTTCACCGGCATATCACTGCGGATTTACCATCAAGCGTCCTTGATCAAACGCCTGTTTTTGTAGCTGGATTGTAAACCTTGTGGCAGGTGTAGAAACGCCTGGAAACCCTCGATAGATCGCCAAAAGGGTAAACTTTTGAACACTTTTTATCCCGTAGAGATCCACGGTATAGTTCCTGAGAAACTGTAAACAGTGTTAATGGTGTCATCGCCGGTGATCCAGCAGACTTTTAGGTGTTAATGCTGTAGAACATAGTCGAAAAATTGAGGAGAAGTGGGTCACACACACACACTCGCCGCTCAATCCAACAAATAATTTGACTGTGAAGCCAGAACTCGTGTCGTACTGTTGGGGGACTTGCTCCCCAAAGGAAGACTGATCCTGTAAGGGGTCCAGACGATGAGTGATGCAGCCGACCTTTATGAAGTGGCAGGAAGGAAATGAGTCACCTCCGCATTAACACTTCCCTTAGAGTCAGACCTGGAAGGGCCTGACGGGGGAGCGTCTGGCGGTCAGGCTTTTCTCTATGGTTGGGCTCAGCTCAAGAACATAATGAGGAGCTGCTGCCTGGCGGGCCCTCTGCCTGCAGGGGCTGGCATGGGGGTCCGGTGCTTAGTAAGGTGGAAACATCAGCAGATTGATCCCTGGTGGCGCAGTCTAGTTTCTTCTATTATATTTGTAGCTGCAAGACTTTTAATTTGGTGAAACCAGGACACGGTTACATGGTTTTACCTTTTTCTTTTAACTTCTTTTCTTTATTCTTATTAACTTTAATAATTACAGCTACACTAATGGTCCAGTCACTCCTCCCCATCTTGGATTTTGGACTGAGTTCAGCTTCACAGCCTCTAGACCGAAGACACGCTGCTGTTAAATGCTCTGAGATTGTAAGACAGCCTGTTTTAGCTGCAGTTCCGTTCACGCTCCGGTGTTGCCTTTCCCGTTTTACCCATGTCAAGGTCTTTTCCTCTCTTTTTTGCCGAATTATTGAGCTGCTATAGCTTCCTCCCCGCAGTCTGCATTCAGGGCCCCATCTTTTGTATACCTAGTGCCAATGTAATGACCTTCCTCTCACCCACTTGTTTGCTGTAGCTCTGCCGTCCGCCTCCAGGGCTGCAGACCTGTTAGCAATGAAAGACACACCTGAGCCCTCATGCATGAAAACACTTTTATGACCATGTGTCTGCTTTTTTGAAACCCACACAGCACATTTCAATAGGACTTGGTTCCAGATACCCTACATTAACTATACGAAGAAGGCTGAACATGTAGAGAGATCAAAACTGCATCTATATTTTACCAAAGCTAAAGATAGAGATAATGTGAATTGCAATCGATGTTGCAGAATCATGTCGGTCAAGTTTCCCCTTTATTTTTTCAGTACATTCATGTTGGTTAAGTTTCTCTTTATTTCTGCACATTCATGTTTTGTTTCATGTCATGCATTTCCTGTTTTATTTTGTGGTCCACCAACCCTTGTCTCTGGACGTTTTCGAATTCGACGACTATACTAGCAGTATGTACTGATTTGCCCAAAATTTAGTATGCAGTGTGCAGTAGATGAACAAATGCGAAACAAGATGGCTACATTTACAAAATTTATTTTAGCGCTTGCCTTATGTTCCGGACAAGGCAAGCGCTAAAATAACTTTCGTACATCTTGTTTCCGCGTCCAATCTTGCTTTTTTCCGACTTGGTGACTGGAACGCTGGGAACTTGAGTGTGACGCCATTTTCAGCTCGGACTTCTGACTTTCAAGGTAACTGGAACGCAACGTAAGACCACATCGCGTAAACGTCAGTGAACAAGTTTAGCGAGGATTGCAACTTCTTTCATTTAAGAAGGAAACGAGGACAACATAACTGACATAACTTTGCTGTATTTACAACGCAGTGACGAGAATCAAATGCCGCCTGATCGATGAGTCAGCTATTTTCATAGACGAACATTTCACTCTCTCCGTTTACAAAAAAAACTGCATGCACATATCAAACATGTAGATGGCAGTGTAGCAAGGAGCTCAAGCCCACGTTAGCCAATCAGAATCCCACTTAGCAGCAACAACAACAACGTCCCTTCCTTCTTTCCTGCGCACCATCTGCCATCAGCTACCCAGATCTCAGTTTTTCTCTGGCCCGAGTTTTTAAAAAGGGGGATGAATTCTCCGTTTGCGTCTAAACGAAGGGTGCAAACAATGGTTAATGTCTCCGTTTTTAAGAATAACCGGGTACGTATAAACGGGGCCTGAAACAACTCCGTCGACTTCTACTTCTAGTCAACAATTTTTCTGAAGAAGAAGCTTTAGCACCAGAATAAAGTGTGAGAAAGTTAAAAGTTTTTAATATAATTTACTGTTTTAATAACTCTACTTCCTCTGTTTCTAAAGTGTGAGTCTGATACTCATTCTGAAACCATCGGCCCATTGAAAAGATATAACACAGATTTATATTTCGGGGGTCCTGACTTAATTGATCGTCCTCTCAGGCTCTAACTCTGCGCCGCGGTGGTTATCGAGTCTCTTTCAACTTCTTTTCTAGCAGATACAGATACACCCTATGTAGGCGAACAACACAGGGGAAAACCCCCCACTGCTCTCAGAGTAATTAATTTTACATTACCGACAGTACAAACCACACATTCTCCAGTAAACATGGCAGCGCTGGATGTTAGCATGAAGGAGAGAACAAAGAAGAAAAAGAAACGAGTCTTTACATCATAATCAATAAATAAAGCTGAACACCCCCATTAAAACTTTACATTACTCCTCGTGCATGCTGTCGAGTCCCTTTCATCCCATCATCAGACCTATAATGGTCGTTAACTTTTAAAAGGGTAAATATCTCCTGACTGTAAGCGCATAAATCTCTGATATACTGGAGCAGTAAAGAAGAAAAGAAGTCTTGATGTTTTTTTTCAAGTGTTGGACTCTCTGTTGGAGGTAATTAACTTTTAATCTTTTATTACATGTTAAAGCTACAAAAGGCAGAATTAACCCAGATCTCGCCAATTCAGAGGACATGTAAAGACAGTTTCTTGGAGATAAACTTTCAATTTAAATCACTGGATTCCACGGGTTTAGAAGGAGCTCTTGGTTGCTCTTGAAGACTAAATGGTCTTATTCTGAGGAGCAAACCAACAAGTGAGATGTTCCCAGAGGAGAAGACGGCGTCCACGTTTCTTAGATCTCAGTGCAGCTGAGCATCTTCAGGATGTCACCTAACCTCACAACTTCCAGGCCATAAAGGATCTACTTGACCTCTTGGTGTCGGATATCACAACATATCTTCAGAGGTCCAATCATAGGCTGTACATACTGTGGACAACTTGGCTCCGCCTTCCGTCATTATACGGGTTTGAAGCCGAATTTCTCTCTGTATTTCCGGGATTTTTTACACTTCCTGGAACCACCACTTGCGCAGTAGCATTCTATGCACTTAAAGTGTGGACAAGGAACCAAAACTGTAGATAAAAATATCAGTAATAAAACTATCAGCAGACCTGGACCCATGTCTCTCTCCTCTCCCCTTTTCCTCCCCCATCCCTGCTCTCTCTAGTCCCCCTGTTACTCCTGTCTTCGCCTCTCTCCCATGCCATTTAAGCTCCACATTTTCAATAAACCACTGAACTGTGACTGTCCGCGTTGGGGTCCCTTCCCCGCTGCCTTGTACTCGCCTGACAGCACAGCTCAAATTACAGTGTGGAGAGGATGAAGACCTCAAGGATTGTGACCTTAAGCTCCGGACTGACATGTTGATATCTCCCAGTCTGGAATTTACAGATTCACAAGTTCTCTTCCATCATCCAGATAAAAAGGAGATCCAGGGCAGAGTTAAAGATGCTGCGAACACGTCATCTGCGGTTTGGATCCTCTGACATGTTGTCCTTTTCCTGTCACCGACAAAATTCAGAAATGCAAAAAGAGAGAGAGAGAGGGAAATATGAGGCTTCCCCGCTTCAGTGAGCAACACTAAAGGCTCTAATGAGTCAGACGTATAATTCAGCCGTGCAGCAGTATGCAGATCCAACAGGAAGCTCCAGCAGAAGCAGCTCCTCAGGAGAGTTTTCATCTCAGCCCAGAACATCCCGAGAGTCTCTGACTACAGGCTCGGATTTAGAAAAACTGCCTCCCTGTGAGGCAGAAACATGACTTTCCAGTGTACGGGGACATTAGCAAATTAGCAAGACAAAGAAACCCAAGGCTAGACATGTTAACAAGATTTAATAATTTAAAGGGCAAATCCTCCCTCCGTTACGCTGTCTTATCGGCAATCTGTGATGCTCAGTTCATCCCCTGCTTTACTCTGTGAAAAAAAAAAAATCTCTTTTTTAAGCTTCAAACTGCCCAGAGCTTCAATGATTAATGACTGTATTAGCAGCACACATGAAAACCATTAACTTGTTTGAAAATAATCAAAACTAAAAAGAGAGAAACTCTGGGTTAATAATTCTGACAGAGCTCCTGAGGAAGAAAGAGAGGAAGAGATGCGGAGGAAAGAAAGGCGTATGGAGATGCAAATGTTGGCTAAGTTATAAATAGAGAGCGGGGATAGAAGAGAGACAGAGAAAGAGAGATGGGCAGATGTAAGGTAGAGGATATTAAGTGATAAAAATAACCGGAAAGACTCATAAACAATAAAAATAGTTATTTTCAGACCCAACAGTTCTGGGACTTTTGGAAAAGGAACTTTTCACAAGGGACCCAACTGAGAACTCCACACCTCGAAGACTTTTATTCTGTCTGCATTCAAACCACAGCGGTGACGACTGAGGGGACACTCGAAGTGACGTAGGCCGGTCAGGAACACCATCTAAAAATCTAGATCACTACTTTTTTTCCTGTACCGTAATCTGAAGTTAAACGTGTCACGGTAGAGAAAAACAGAGATTGACGAAGGGATAGAAATTTAAGAGGGATGTGTGGATAGAGTGATAAAGACACATAGAGAGATGATAGATAGATAGATAGATAGATAGATAGATAGATAGATAGATAGATAGATAGATAGATAGATAGATAGATAGATAGATAGGTAGGAAGGTAGGTAGGTAGGTTGGTAGGTCGATCTGTCGATGGATGGATAGATAGATAGATAGATCGGTCGATGGATTGATGGATAGATAGATAGGTGGTTGGATAGATAGGTAGGTAGGTAGGTCGGTTGATGGATAATAGATAGGTAGATAGATTGATCGATAGGTAGATAGATAGATAAATAGAAAGGTGGGTGGGTGGGTAGATAGATTTGTATATTGGTAGATAGATAGATAGATAAGTAGGTCGGTTGATGGATGGATGATAGATAGACAGATAAGTAGGTAGGCAGATAGATAGATTGATCGGAAGGTAGGTATGTAGACAGATAGATAGATAGATAGATGGATAGATAGATAGATAGATAGATGGATAGATAGATAGATAGAGTTGGAGGCAGTTCAGACAAAGAGATGTAATAGATGGAGGGATTGAAAAAGGAGTGAAGATAATTGAACTATCTCGGTCCGTGTCCGGTTGTCCTGCTCTGCCCAGTTAGTGGTGTCTGTTCGGGGCCTGTGAAGTTGCAGTCTGATAGCTGTGGGGACACATGAGTCTCTGTAGCAATTATCTGTCAGTCTGCTGCAGGAGGAGCCGCTCCGACTCTGGAGCAACTTTTGGAGCAAAGTGGTTTGGATCTGCAGACAGTTCATCTCAGTCTGCTTGCAGGGACGGCACGGGTTTAGTATGCACAGCAGCAGCAGCAGCAGCAACAATGCATCTCCTACAAGACGAGACAACTTTAAAAGAGTTTGGATGCAGTAGTGAGGTTAGAGCACCGGGAGTTAAGTATCACTTACAGCTTAGGTTTGCAGTGTGGTCATTGTGCCAGTCAACAAAGGTCCATAAATATCGTGACATCGGCACAATACATGATGTGCTTCGACTGCAGACATTCAGCTTTAATATAAACGTATTTACATCCAAATCAGGTGAACTGTGTAGGAATTATGATAGTTTTTATATGTGCTTTCCACTTTTTAAGGGACCAAAAGTAATAAAAATCAGAAATCAAACTTTCACTTTTCAATACATGGTTGCAAATCTTGTTTGTTTCAGTTCAAATCCATTGTGGTGGCGTTTACAGGCAGAAAGATGAGAATTGTGCCAATGTCCCAATATTTATGGACCTGACTGTATTATAGAACACGAACTATCCCTTTAAGCAGAAAAACTCTCAAATTGTGCAGAGTCACGGCGAAGGTTGGCGTCCACCTGCTCACAGTGATTATTACAGACTATTACCTGCCGCCATCACACTTTGGCTCATCCCAGACTTCTTCTTCTTCTTCTTCTTCCTCGGGGGGGCTGGCATGAAAAAGTCCCCTTACAGTTTGTGTGAACAGGTTTGCGACCACACTTGAACTTCACTCAGTCAGCGTTGGGAAATTTCAGGAGCTCTGCACATGTTTGGAAGAGGCTTCTGGGTCTCAGTGTCACCGTTTCAGAAGGAGACAGTCTTTCAAAATAAGTGAGTAGGAAAGCATCTCCGATGAGGACGGTCTTATTTCATGCTGACATATTGAAAAAAAGTCCCAGAGATAAATGACAATAAATGTCACTCCAATCTTATTTCCTCGTTATGGAGGAGTATACCTGAAGCATCTGCGAGCCTCTGGGGATCACATATGACAGATGAAGGTAAACAGAGCGGGAGAGGAGGCAGGTGGAGCTATTTTGGAATAAACAAAGCAGACAGGAGTGTGATCAGGTCCTTTCCGGTTAGTGGACGCTCAGCCTGCTGTCCCTTATCCTCTAGCGTCCCATTAAGTCGGGATAGAGCGGCAAGGAAAGGAGAAGCACTGACGGCGCCGCATCGTGCCAACAAACAAACAAGTGAGTCGGCACTTGGAGACCTCTCAGGCTGCAGGAAAAATAGAGACCTTTCAACAACACTTGGTTGTTTTCCTCAAATTTCATCTGTTTTCAACAATCCGTGAGCGAAGTTTAAGAACAGAAGAGTCTCTCCCTAATGGTGCAATTGCATGTGGCAAACAAAGGCAGAACTGCTCCCCGAGTGCCTGTGCGTGACTGCAGCAGACTCAGGCATCAATTACTGTCAAAACCATTTCAAAGCTAGGTGAGCGGCAACGCCTGATTGATATAACTATTATATGTTACCGCTGGACAGCCTTTTATATGCTGATCGCTGAGGGATTCTCTGGGGGATGAAGTCAAGCAGCAAGAAGAAAGAAAGGCAGCGGAGACTGAGATGATGGGCTAATTGAATGCATTCAGATTTTAATTTTCACCGAAGGATTAAGAAGGGACAGATCGCCACGGGAGAGGAAGAAAGGAGAGAGACAGAGAGAGAAACGGAGACAAAGAAACCGAGAGAGTGAGACAGAGGAGACAAAGAGACGGAGATAAAAACAGAGAAGGAAGATAAAGAGTGGAAGATAAACTCCGAGACAGAAATGTGCAGAGAGAGAAATACCGAAGCAATAAAGACGATGAGACTGTGAGACACAAAAGCCTCTTTCAGACACACTTTCCTCTGCAAATGTTCTGGAAGTAAAGATTATGACTGCAGTAAATGTCATCAGTTTAAATCTTTGTTCAAACAGTCCCTGAAGGCCAATCAGGTGTCTTTGAGGTAGGGATTTATCTGCTTTTATGACTCTTTTTAGTTTATTGTGTCTTTTTGGCGAGTCAGCATTGATGTACCACAACAGGTTGGAGAGTAGAAAACCGAGTCGTGCAGGTCGACTGTGTGAACTGCTTGTCGGGGCTCCTGATGACTAAGAAAAGTGCGGCCAAGGGTTCGTTTTAGCGGTTATTTTGTTAATGAATATTACGGCGATAAACGTTCGTCAGCGAATTTTAATTTCCCATGACAAAGCCGGAATGATGGCGAGCTAATAATGCAAAGGCTCTGATGGATGTACCTTTTGTTTTCATGAATGAGTCACGACGGGCTTAAATGTTAATGGTGGACGGCCGGACATTCAGAATCCATGATATTTCCCCCCACTGAGCGTCCAATCAGCCTGTTGAAATTAAAGCAATTCATTTTTATGATGGGCTTAATTGGTTTGGGACGGACGTTCAAGTTCGTCACAACAAGCAACAAGGTCGGCATCAGTAAAGTATTTGATATTTTCTATATTTTTCCAGATAAGGTTAGTATTTGTTAGTAATGTGAACCCTGTTGCATGTCTGTAATCTTGCAAAGGTTGAAGCTGATTGGCTTATTTGCAGATGAAGACTGACCAAAGCAATCAGCACCATTCAAGGAGAAGAGGTTTGCTTAAAAGTGGCGAGCCTGTAAACAATGGCTGCCTATAATGTTAAAAGTGTTAATATGCGTACTTTTGTTTAGTTCAGATTGAAGCGGGTAGCGTGTTAAACATGTCACGAATTTGCATCAATCGCGTATACAGTTGGCTTAGTTTGCATCACCTCATTCACATACCCAACTAGTTTGAACTGTAAGGTATCCCCCTCATCTGATGACATTGTGCAAATTCTTTGTCAATTTGTTATCACGATCCTATTACGTAGTGTACTGTCATCACTGTCGCTACCCGTCCTTGAAACCCGATTTGTCCTGAGTGTGTGCAGTGTGCAGGTTCCTACTCCAGCTAAATTGTAAAATTGCAACGTTGTTAATAAAGGCTTGAATGAACATGAATATTTCAGTGTTGAAATTGTACGCTGAAATTCATTGTCCATAATGTGTAGGCTTCTTGTTAATAAATTCGATTTTTAAAATGAATGAAATGAATAAATCCCCCCTTGATACTTAGAAAAGTCAGAGAACCATAATTTCGACCGGGTTGTGGCGCTCTCCATGGCCCAGAAAGGGTGCAAAATGGGTGGCCACACACCTCCAGAGCATCCCTATTTGATTCTTCAAAAAGTCAGAGAACCATAATTTTGGCTGGGTGGTGGCACTCTCTGGCCCAAAAAGTCTCACCCTGCTGGGCACGAGCTCTGGCGAAAGCCTCGGCATTAGCTCTGGAGCCTCCTGCTAACTAGCCTGTCACATCGCCAGCTGGTTTCTGAATCGATTGGTAGTTTAAATAAAGTTTTGAAGGTGAAGTAAATTTGCACTTGCTTAGCACGGATCGGGTAAGTAGCGACTCACTGCCGTAAAATACATCGAAATGCCAAGAGAGGAAGTTACATACGTTTCGCACATGCGCAGAACAAACCGGTTTCCTGGGACGGATCGGGTAGCGACAATCTCCTAGCATCAGCTCAAAAGGCTCAAAACTTTCTGACTGGAACTCGGTCCACTCAAGTATGACATCATCCCCAGCCCTGTCATGTGACTTCAAGGGTAAATGGAACACACCTTTATTTTAATATGAGTTTTGGGTCATCAGTGATAAATCGTGACAGTGATAAAGACCATCAACACAATATGTCAGCGCTCATCCAGGCTGTGTTTGGTCTTCAGGAGCAGGTGGACCAAAAGTCCCTCCTAAGAGCTTTGAGTGCTGTCAACTGTGAGAAGTTTTGTGCCCAACTGCATCTGTTTTACAACCTGAACCAGGTTTTCTAGGCCTTAGTCCTGCTTGTCTGTGTTGACCCGCGCTGCCATTAAAGTTTAAGGTGTGTTGTCTGCTGAATAATGTAGGGAAACGCTCCTGTCTGTCATTTCTAAGGCTGGAACAAGCAATAATGTGGTCGAGTTGGAGAGAAGGGACTTGCTGGGGTGTTTAATGGTTCTGGTCCTAGAGAATTAGATCTATAAAAGTGTTTGTAATGAAGCAGTGGTGTGGGGATGGATGTTTTCTCGCTGTTGTGAAAACGACAGGATGTAAACATCGTCCAAACGGCCTAAACTTTTAAAAACACCAAGAGTCAAGGCTGTTGAGACTGAAAAAGATCAACTCTGTCATGTTTTCTTTCTACCTGATGAGGTTATTCAGAGATCATCTCCTGCTTTGCTTTCGTCTCGTCATAAATCGGTTTGTTCTACATTCAGACGAGATATTTTGTTGTCTGAATAAAAGATATTAACCTGAACTGTGTCCGCTCCAATCGCATCAGTCCGCTCCTGTTTGTTTGTTGTTCCCACATGGATCAGATTCACTTATCTTAATGGCTAACCCTGAACCTATTTCAAGTCAAGTTGAATTGAATTGAACCGAGCTAAATTAAACTGCCCCCCGACTGAAAACAGAAACCAAAGTGAACTGATTGGACTGACTGGAGAAAGGCGCCGGCTCAGACAGAAATTAAGACAAATAAGCGAGAGGAGAAGAAGAAGTGAGAGGGGAGAAACGACCCCTTCATGCACACTTATTAAGACATTTAAGCATTATGATAGCTGCTATCAGAGTGCATTAAAAGGCGCCACGGAGCAGGTAGCGCCCGTCCACGGCTGAGTACGACCACATGTGTCAGATAAAGTGGCTCTGTAATAGGATGAGACAGTTTAATGGCTCAGCTGCAGCCATTTTGAGGTCAGCTGGGGGGACGCGCGAGCAGGAGTTCACCAGTGGCTCGGAGATTAAAACACCGACAGCGCTGGAATGATGTGACCCGCTGTGACATGGCAGGTGAGGAGGTTTGACGCGCAAATTCAATTTCAGACTCATAGACTACAGAGATTGCGCTGTTGTTGCTTTTGCTGCCTCGTCGAAGTCTCTTTCCATCTTCGCCTCGTCCACCCCCCGTGATGAAAGATTTCTGGCACTCACACACACACACACACACTCACACATACATATATATTTATATATACCACACAGAGTGAACTATAAGGCTGCACCGTGTCAAGACCTGTATTTCTGTCCATTTTTACTTTTAAATAAATCTTTCAACTACTGCAGCTCAAAAACAATCTTTTTTCAGGAAACAGCTGTCATGATAAGTTCTGTTAAATATATTTTTTCCTGGTTTTGTTAATTGAGTTTTTCTTCCTGAGATCCTGTCTTGTGGGATTATAGTTTGTGTTTCACCGTTTTCCTCCTGTTCTCGGTGTTTTATTCTTTAGTTAAGTGGAAATGCTGATTAAGCATTTCCACTTATTGTTATTCCTGTCGGCCATTTTTCTTTATTATTATTATTATTATTATTATTTTTCTTCCGCCATTTTTTGGACCGCTTCTCCTCCTTCAAACTTTGTCCGATTTCAACCATTCAAACTTTAAACTATTCCACTCCTTCAGGACATGATGGCTTCCATTTTTTTTCTTTCTACCCTTTATACTTTTTGGTTTTTTTTACTTTTTGTGCAAAAATTTTAACATTGAAGTCAATGGGGAAATCTTCAACTTCTTCCTTTCATTCTTCCACCTTCTAGACCTTATAACTTCAGCATACTTTCACCTAGAGACCTCATTTTTGCTTTAAAATGTTCATTCACTTGTCGACTATTATAGTTGTACTCAGTTTTTTGATATCTTTTACAGTTTTTCCACAATTTAGCTTTATGCAACTTGTGGTTTTCAGCAAATTTCAAGCTTTATAATGGGTGTGTATTGGAGAGTTTAGAGTGATGATGTCATGAGCTAGAGTGCAGACCTCGTCTCTGATCGACAGAACCTCGCTCGAATATATCGCTCCCACGCCCACAAATCTCACTCCACTGACACAAATAATACATCAAAATGGAGGTATATGTGTCCTGCTTCTCACAAAAGAGGTTTCAAATCATTAAATCGTACCCCTTGGCCAGCAGGTGACCAACTGTCCAGATAGGCGCAAATATCTCCCCATTGGCCCTAATGTATTTCTTCTCCAAGAAAATCCTTATCGTCACTCAGGCTCAGACTTTTTTAACTCGCTGTTGTGGCCTCATTTTTCGAAGTACAGACATGAAAAACACATCATTGTGTTCATGAAGGACGGAGGATTCATACGATGTTCTTATTTTCATTCTGGGACTTAAGGAAATCACGCTATGTGAAGAAGTTCACAGGCTTCAAATCCTCTGCTGTTCAGCTGCTTGTCATTCAAACAGTAGGTTAGTGATTTGCCTTTGATCTCACAGCTGTTAGGGATGCAGTCATTAATGAGACACACACACACACACACACACATTCTTGTACTTGTTGCATTGTCAGGTCTACCTTGCAGTTAACCTGCTTGTACACACAGATAATATGTGTCTGCTTCACCACCTATCTCCACCCACAAACTTTGAGCTACAGAAACCATTCTGGGCTTGAAAAATTCAGCTCATTGAAGATATTATGGGGTGTTTTGAGGATTGTGATAATAAATTGTATTAATGTGTTCAGCAAAATCTTGTGTTCTCACAAGCTCCTTATGAATTTATACAGAGGATGAGCGTCAGGGCCTACTTGGAGTCCTGTTTCCTTAGCTTCAAGCCTTCTTTCTCCTGCTATAGTTATTCATCCAAGGTCCCCATGGCAACCAATTTGTGCACCTGGAGACACACAGCTGACTGGAAAGCTGCTTCTAATGGCCATATGAGACACATGAAGCCAGGCTCAGTACACATAGCACTGGGGATGACACTTAAAACCCTTTCCCAGAGCGCTTGAAAAACCTTCAGCCCCTATCTCCTCACATGACCTTTGACCTACAGAAACCATTCAGGGCTTTAAAATTTAAGCTCATTGAGGACATTATGGGGTGTATTTAGGATTTATATTCATTTAAATTTTTCACATTTTAAAGTCACTCAGTGATGATTTATCATTTAATTTTTCAAACTAATTTAAACTCATTCAAAATGATTCAAACCTTTCTAATACTAAAAAACTTTCTGATACTTGAGGATTTTTAATTAATAAAATTTTCCCTGTTTTATATTATTTTTAATATTTATGCATTAATCCGTCCTTCAAACAAAATCCTACCTCTAGTACTACAACTACTTATGTCAATTAAACTAGAACTTTCCCCTCTACTTCAACTGCTATTGCTCCTATTTCTACTTTCTCTACTGCTGCTATTGCTACTATTTCTACTTTCTTTACTACTTTGACTTATACTTCTTTTATTCTCAATCTACTTCTACTGCTGACATGACTACTAGTATCACGACTTGACTTCTTATCATACTTCTTCTAGTACTACAACTTAAACTTATGCCACTTCTCACCTTCCTGCCTTTAAAGGCAGTTTCCTTCTTCATTCAAACTTTGTGCAATTTTAGACATTTTTCTAGCCTCTTTCAGCATGAATAAAATTTCCTTTTATAGAGCATATTCATACTATTTGTCCTTCAACCAATTAAACTATTATCCAACTTATATTTCTTTTTCACCCCTTCAACAGCTTTAACATTTATACCTTTCTCCATGTTTTATTAGCAGTTTAGCATTGCTTTTTCAGCTTTCAGCACTCAGCATTTCCACGCATTTTCTGCAAGGAAATGCAATTTTTCTAGTTTTATTTTGAAGTCGTCTATCCTCCTCAGTTTTCCCTCCTTCGTTAATCACCCATGAGTTTCACCTGTGTCTCGTCTGCCTCACCTGTTGCTCGTTTCCCAGTGTGTGTATATAGTCCCTGTCTTCTCCTCGGTCTTGTTGGTTCATTGTGTGTGTTTGTCGGTCAGTGTCAGTTGATGTCTTGTTCTTCAAATCCTTTTTTACTCTCCATTTTTGACAACACTTGACAACAGCCTCACAGTTGAGAAACACACCCTCTCATACATGCCTATACTGAGGACCATCAATCAATCAATCAATCAATCAATCAAATTTTATGTATATAGCGCCAAATCACAACCACGCATTATCCCGAGACGCTCTCCAAATAGAGCAGGTCTAGATCACGCTCATTGTTTGATGAATTACCAAAACCCAACCTTAAGATGGGACAGATTTGACCACACTGACTAAGATTGGACTTTTAGTTTTTGGTCATTTTAAAATATAAAGAAAAAATACCTAAAAACTTTCACTTTTAATTTGAGAAATTGCTTAGAAGACTTTTATTCTGAAAAAATGTCCCGTACCATTACAACAAATGAGAGACTGTTTGGACAAAATTACAAAGTCAGGACCTCTGATTTCAGGAGTTTAAATTCTTATTTTAAAATCATTAATATCATCTTAGTAGTTTTTTTTTCTATCAAGACGTCACCAGAGCTGCCAAGCATTTGAGTGTGACAGTCACGCAATTTGACCCATTCTCATACCAAACGCCACTCTTGTTGACACTTGTCCTGCTTATTTTTCCCCATTCAACACTCTGCATTTATTTTTTCATGATAATAATCTTGGCTTGTTGTAGTTCGAGTAACTCTGTTTGACTGACCGAGATAACCAATTCCAGACCAATCCATCAGTCCTTTGTGCCTAAATCGAACCAACCATGGAAGGCAAATCAGAAGCAACGTAAGGCAGGTCTTGGCGTCTCTAACTATCTTTCACACACAACATCGCCGACATTTAAAAACCACTTTCTAATTTGTGGTTATTTGAGACTTTGAGCCTTAGGGAGAGCTGCTGGCATGGAGGTGAGGACATCAGTCTTAAGGTATAAATTGACATTAAAAAAAGCCACTTTTTTTTCACCGATGACCGAACACATCATAACGCTTAAGTCTCACTCTTGTCAGTTTCTGAAACTTGGCAATCCTGCATCACTATGACAGAGAACAAAACACACTCATACACACATCTAGAGTACAAACAGGGACTATTACAGCAAATGTTTAAAGTTAGGACTTCTGCCTCTAGTCATTTTAGAGGATCAAATATCAAACAAAAACGTTTGCTTTCGATGTTTTGTTTTTTTTCCATAAAATTGCTTTGAATTTGATTTTAAGTTTTACTAAAAATAGATTATAAACACTCGTACACAATTATTGTGAATGTGGAACTATAAGGTCACACTTTCCAAAAATGTATTTTCTGTTTCTAAAAGTAATAAAAGATTATATATTACAGTTAACTTTCACTTTTACTCCATTTGGGGTTTTTAAGAAAGTTTTTAAGCAGTTGCTTGAGTGTGTCCGGTAGGCAGAAGCGCTGTTATAACTAAACACTCAAACACATGTTTTTACTAACATGACGACCAAGGGACTAGGAGCGTTTACTAACAGAGTTGGGACCTTTGATTTTTAATCGTTTTGAAGAAAGGTGCTTTGAAAATTTGCTTTCAAGAATGTAAGAATTGAAGCACAGACACTGAAAATGAAAAATAAACTATTAATGAAAATTTTTTTAAAAAGCGCAAACATGCACAGACCAACACCGACCCACCAACTTCATCTTTTGAACCTTGTCTGAGTCTCAGTCTGAACTTAAAGTTACTCTAAAAACTCCTCCACCCCGACACTCGGTCATACATACAGAAAAGTCCTCCCTGCACTCGTACACATACATCTCCTCCTTACAGACACACACACACTCACGCAGATATTTTCTGACACGCACACACATACAGCCATCACTCACTCAGCAGCACTCCACAGCAGGAGGCTGGCAATCTTCTCCAGGCTTCAGACGGCAGGTGGTAAAGCAAACAATCAGCAGTTCCCACCGCGACATCAGAGCAAACTGTCCTCACGCAGCTCAATTGACTTTCCTGTGACAGTGCAGGAAAAGAGATTTTTTTGTTTTTTTTCTCTAACTGAGGGCTTGAAAACTCAATAATAACTACAACAACACCAGTGGTCAGTTTCATCTAGAGTTTGGGAACAGTTGGGATTTTTTTGGGGGGATTGAAAAACTCGATAATAACGACGGAGAACAGTGACAGAGAAAGAGGACAAACTGAGCTGGAGTCATTGCATCTTGATTTTTCAGGGGTGGAAATGATGAACCATCGGTCTAAATAGCTTTTCTTTGTTTTACATCCTCATCAATTCAATATTTTTGTACTTTTAATTGTTTGTTTGGACAAAGCGAGACATTTTAACTTGACAAAGCGTGTCTTCTTTCTTTAAAGAACAAAACGATAAAATAAAAACTGAAAACTTATGAGGGAACAACAATTAGCACGCCTTTTGTGTTGATAGACTTTGCACTCCAGCCATATTTTCAGCAAAGTTTATTATTTTATTTCTCTTTAAGCAAACAAGAAAAGTGATGGAAAGGATTCTCGTCGGTCCTTCAAAGGTAGAAAATATGTGTTGCAGCAAAACTTGTCAGAAATAAACAAAAAGGAAGAATTTCAAAGACTTGTCGTTTAGACCGTCTCCAGAGCTTTGAGTGGAAAAATCTGCCATTAAAGATAAAATCCTCCCCTCAAATTAACTGAAATATGCAGAATAATACCAAACCTTCTGAAACCGTGTCAAAGATCGACGGCTTAAAGGAGAAAACAAGAGTAGAGGGAGTGTGAAATACTTCATATTAGGCTGGATCATCGGGGCCAGGCTCAGGTGGTTGTTTGTTCGGCGGTGTGGTCGAGGTCAAAAGGAAAGAAAGCTTTCATTTATTACTTTTACACCTACAGGCTCTGAAGGTAACAGTTCAAGATCAGGGTGTAACGTGTCGACAACAACAACAAACTCGGAGCAGCAGCAGCAGTCAAACTTCTCCACGGCCTTCGTTTTATCTCCATCTCTAGTTTCTATAGAAGTGAGTAGCCGTCTTATCAGTGACGTCATGGAGGCAACATCCACGTGTTGATCTGTTTACGGCAGCTGCTGAATCAAAAGGAAAACCACATGGCGCCCGCCGCCCCGCGTGTTCCAGTTTGATTTTGCTCGACAAATCCGCTCTGAGCGTCCAAGTCTGAGGAATTTCATCCCGTTTCTGTATCCGACACGAACGCTGATGTCTGTTTTAGCCGACAACTCGCGCAGCCTCGGGAGTCCTGGGAGCCTCCAGACACAAACCACTTAATTGGCTGTGCGCGCTCAGACTGCGTCGAGCCTTTTCTTTTTTTACCTCTCGGTGGGTTTGTGTGGGTGACAGTGCGGTTAGATGTGTTTCCAAGTTTCCATGAAAGCGTGCTGATAATCAAGAGTTCTTTCTCTCTCTCCGCTTTCTATTTTTGTTGCTGCGTGTTCTCCGTCAATAAAAGACAAACATGTTTCTCTGCGACTCCCACATCAGTGTGAGCGCTGATAAACAAAGGCATACATGATAATGAAATCTCATCACAGGTATTAGTCATCAGGCTTTTCTTCATCACAGCCTGTGGGTTGGGACACAAAGGAAACACTTCAAAGTGGAAATGTCTCTTAAGTGGGAAAAGTCTGTCATTTTAATAACTTTACATCCACTGAAACACATCGTAGGTGTATTCTTTATATATGAGGAACTGGTGATGCATGTTTCGAACCCTTTCACTTTGATTGTAGCTGAATTAAGAAGCTTTAAAGGCATGGTTGAAGATTGGAGAGATTGGTAATTAATTCCTGTCGTGCGATCTCCACAAAGTGAAGAGAAAAAAGAATGGAAAAATCCGTTCACCCTAGCATGTGCAGGGCTGCAAAAACATTGACCAATGGGAGCCATCCATCCTGGACGCGAAAGGTTTTTTTGTAGGATGGTAGGGAAAGATCCCACCCTTCTTTGCCTCTAATTGGCTAGAAGTGCTGGGCTCCGATTGGTTATTCCTTTTGGCTGTGAAACGTCTGTCGGGTTAGGAAGTTCAGGAGTGCGAGTGTTCGATGTACAGAGCCGATAACTTGAGCTTGAGCGTCAGATGACATTTCCAGCTTTTCTAGCCAATCAGAGGCGAAGGAGGCAGGATTGAAAATATCGCATCCCAGACAGCTCCTAATGGTCAAACTCCTGCTCCGCCTCTCCATCCAATCACCTCGCTGTATTCGACACACTCACTCTCCTGGCCCTGAGTGGCTAAAAGTAGCGTAGCAGCTTAGCTACAGGAGCTGTGATGGACAAAAAAAAAAAACACTTCTGTTTGCCCCAACGCCAAATTAGGAAGAAAACGCACAGGGCAATGATGAAGAGGAAATGTGACCAAGCGAGGAATAAACATCAGGTCATCCTTCGAGCGGTGAAGAAAGCTTCGCCAGGATTTGGGCCTGAAAACAGACGCCGAGACAGCAGAGTTTCTGTTGAACAGGTAATTTTATCGCCAAACTGACCCGTGGGTTTCCAGATTAGCCAAAAGTCAGATGTAGCCATTGGCAGCTGAGATAGCGAGCGCTAAGGTGGAAGAATGACAGACTTTGACTCAATTCGGGTTTATAGATAACTGTGAAATTTCCATACACAAATTTCGAGGGTAAAAGAAACTTGTAAATTAAGAGTGAAAGACATAAAATTCAGATTTGACGGTAACGGCTGTAAAAACCATGGATGGAGAAACGACTATCCTGGGTGAGGCCAAACTTTTGGAGTCCCCTCCGGTGATTGGCTGCTGTGTAGGACTTCTGAATGACAGATGGGACATAAAATAGAGATCACATTCAACACATTTCCCCAAACATGCTTCGTCCTAGCTATTATCATTCTGCTCTGTGCCTCAATGTTTTCATTTGTCCTGCAGGGATTTTTACACTGCTGGGATTAGTAAGTAGAGGTGGACGTGACTGAAAATGTGAAAAACACCAACATGAGGTGAAACTCCCTGCTTTCTCTTCCTATTTCCTCTCTAAATAAAGCCAAAAAGCATTAGAAATTGGGTTAAAGTCACTTTGACTAATGGAAGCACTGGAAGGCTACCTGTGGAAATGGAAGTTGTCCATTTATTCAAATTCTGCCAAAGGTACTGAGCACAAAGGCGCGCAAACAAGCATTTGAGAGGTTTTCATGGATGCTGAAAGCTTTCCCGTGCATCATGACCAAAAGCTTTCCACGGACACTCCCTCCTGAGCGGGAGAAAGCTGGAATTGTCACTTCCAAATAAAAGAAACAAGTGTTTGATTCCAACGAGACCGTATGAAACCAGACCCACCGTCAAGTTTTTGATTTACTCTTGTTATTTCCAACTGAGACACATTGCTGAGGGACTTAGGCTCAATGTGTCTCAAGCTGGGATGGAAATTGTAATTCACTCTTCAATATGGTCTCGCCTCCAGTGCTCTAAATCCTTTTCTACCTGCCGCTATAAAGGAAGCCGAGTTTTTCTACAGTTCAGCCAAAACGTTGTTGAGCTCACGTCTCTGTTCTTTAAAGGAGCTCATTAGGCTCTGAATCTGAGACCAAGTTACAATCAAATTACATTTTTTTTCTGCACCACATGAACAGATTAAAGTATTGTTTGAGCTCCAGCTCCTGAAACCTGCCTCCATGGACTCGCTATCCTCTCCCTGTGCATGTTTCACATTTCGCTCGGGTCACTGCTTTACATGACGGTTTCCCAAGAGACGCTTCACAACAACCATGAGCACGGTTCTCCGCAGGAACCAATGAAGAGTATCAAACCTGAGAACCAACTCCAGCATCCACGTCTCTACAGGGTGATGTTTTTGTAGTCTGAGCCAACTTCTCCAGATTGCTGTTTTGATTTATCTTCTTTTCTCTACAGACGTCTGTATGATAAATCTTGTGCGCTATTAAGACAGTATAATGTGGTTTATCCGGCTTCCATAAAATCTGGAATAGAGGTTCATCTGTAAAAAAACAAGTCGTTTTTTTCGGGGAGGAAAGCTCAAAATTGTGTTCCTGTTGAGTTCAGCAATGTGTGGTGTAGATGCAGATGTGTAGCTCGGCCTTCTACCACCTGTTATTAACAGCTATCTGTAAAAAGGTCTATTTCCTCAGTTAAAGTCTCGCAAATCTCATCATGACTCTACATGACGGGGAAAAATCTCTTAGTTGCATGATTCATTTACGTCTGTCTTAAAGGGATATTCCGGCGTAAAATTAATTTAGGGTCAAACACACCTTAACACCGAGTCAGACACGCCCTTGAGAGATGAATATTGCTATCCTGCGGTCGTTACTAAACAACATTCATCTCTCAAGGGGGTATCTGACTCGGTGTTACGGTGTGTTTGACCCTAAATTAATTTTACGCCGGAATATCCCTTTAATCGTCTTCATTTTGGGGTTTGGCCGAGGATGCAGGAACTCTCAAGATTTTTTTTTTTACTGAAGGAAACTCAAGATTTGCAAAAGAAAACAGCAAAAATTTAATTCAATAATCTAATTTTCTTTAGTGTTTATCTACACTCAAGCATTTTTGGTCAAAACTCAGAATTTCCAACCAGAGAGTAAGCCTTCGCGACCACTCATCGTGTCACATTCTTACACTGGTGGCAGAGGACGCCACGCCAAGCGACCATCAGCGCTCCAGTTTGATGTCTTGCCTATGGACACTTCAGGCTGCAGGAGCTGTGACTGCACTTCCAACGCTTTGATCGGGAGACAACCCGCTGTACCGCTGAGCCGCGACTGCCTCTGAGCGTGGAGGCTGTTTTTAGAGAGTGACACAGAAGAGCTCAGGGAGCTTCATTGTCATTCTGGAGTCGCAGCATGAAACAGAAATGAAGTACTCGGGCACAACAACATTAACATTTAACCAATACTGAATGGAAAAAACTCACTTCTGAGAATTTTGACTTAATTATGAATTAAAAAAATAGACTGTAAAGCTCTTAAATGGAACTTTTGGTTTGCACTGACTTTGGCGCCCCCTGTGGCCAAAGTGATACTTCACTGGAGCTTCAAAACCCAAATGAAGACTTTTGAGCTGCTTATGAAAAAGACGGAAATTTAAAATTTTGCCTTTTTATAACTCAAAACAGCGACAAAACCCATCAGCACAAACCCTGACACTTTCCTCTTATGAATATAAAACATCAATTTTTTAAATAAAAATGCAAAAACTAAATTATTTTTTAAACTAAATTACTTGATATGAAAGGCAAGAAAGGAATAAATCCTCAACAACATTAACATTAAACCAACACTGAAAAGAAAAAACTCACATCTGAGAATTTTGACTTAATTATGAATTTAAAAAATTGACTTTAAAGCTCTTAAGTGGAACTTTAGGTTTGCACTGACTTTGGCGCCCCCTGTGGACAAAGTGATACTTCACTGGAGCTTCAAAACCCAAATGAAGACTTTTGAGCTGCTTATGAAAAAGAGTGAAATTTAAAATTTTGCCTTTTTATAACTCACAAAAGCAACAAAACCTATTAGCACAAACCCTGAAAATCCCCTCTTATGAATACAAAACATCATTTTTTCAAATAAAAATGCAAAAACTAAATTATTTCTTTTATATTACAGACAAGAAAGGAAATGTTCGATTTTTCACAGTATCAAAATTGGAAATAAAAGATGCTGATTCAGTCTCACTTGTTGATTGACAGCTGATTTTGATTTAGCTTTGAAAAATATGAACATGAATAAAAAAAGATGATTTGAAGATATTCCCTCCTGTTTGAGATCTTGTGTGTACTAAACTGCAGAATATCACACCATGTGTTGGTTTGTGACTCTGCTGGAGATGACAGTGAGTGACACTGATGTGTAACCTCTTATTCCTCCTTTTCCTCCGCACTGCAGACACAGCAGGCTGAATAAAAAAAAACAAACAAATATTTTCATCTGACACCTGTTTGTGACTCACAGCTGCTGGAAACGAAGTGCAATCAATACAGAGGATTCCTCGCTGCAGCATCGCCCTCCACGAGACTTTATTAACTCTCAACTTAATAATGGAGAACAGATATGAAGTGCTCGGCTGCACGGCTTTCTTCAGGGAATATTAATTATGGATACTGATTTATATACCGCTGTTGTGTGCCTGCAGTGTGCCGGGGTCGACTAGAGACAGAGGACAGAGGAGGGCAGCTGGGTATGAGAGCAGCAGTGAAGAGGAGACAAAGCAAATAAACAAGGACATTAATCCTAAACGCACAAATAAACACAAACAGTCAAAGCTGAGACTCTAGCTTTGAGATATGTCGAGGATAATGTGTCATTATGTCGTCATTTTAATCAACATAACCACCCGCTGACAATACACCAGCCCTCTTCTTGCTTTACTGCTTACCCAAACCGCTATCGGAAGATTTCAAAATAAAAGCATGACCAACAGTTTAGTGAGGAAATGTCAACTCAAGAAAAGTTTCAACTGACGGTTATTAATTTGAATATTAATAGAGATGGATGTTGACACGTTAAATACTTGTATTTATTAGTTAAATTTATGTTCACTCGACTCTTGTCAAGGACGGCTGCAAATAGGCCATTCAAATTTCTGAATCAATTTCCACTGGCTTCTTTCCGTTCCGCTGAAGTTCAGCGGACTCCGCAGCCGATCGCCAGAGTTCTATTTTTTCCGGATGTCGCAGCATGCTGCATAAATTCAGCACAGATTAGTCCGTGTTGGAAAGGAAGTCAGGCTCAGACACAACATAAAACTCGTGATTCCCGCTGTCCAAAATTAGCCTCACAAATCTGGTATCTGGTAGGAATTGGCAGATGGCGAAAATCTCTGCCTTTCCGTTTGCGGTGGAAATAGGGGTTAGCTTTGTTCTATCTGTGTTGTTTTACTTTCAAGTTATCCATAAATCCACAAATGACACAATTTTATCTCTATTATGATATTTCCTCTTCGTTCACAATATTACAACATCTCTACTTAAAAGAACCTTTTTTGTTGTTTCAACCAGGCTTCAAACATGTTTATTTAGTAAAAATGAGCTTTTTTGAATGAGTGTCTATGTGGTTTCTGGCACTTCTGCAGCCAGCCCCAAGTGGACACTCAAGGAACTGCAGTTTAATTTCTCAAGTCCAGTTATTGCTGCTTGGTCACGTCCCTCCTTTTCAACAAGTTTCCAATACAAAGCTTTAAATAATATATACACACCATATACATACATATATACCGTATATACATGTATAGATAAGGAACTAGAGTAAATATAGGTGAAATTTGTCAGACTCCTTTATGCAGATTGATTTTACATGTCAGGGTCTGAAGTTGTAATGGGGTTCTGTCCAATCAGAATCAAGTATTTCACACAGTCAGGTGATGAGGATGAGTATTAAACACTCTTGTTGTGCAGTCTTTCTGAATTTCCTGGTGCAGACAGATTTCATTTACATGTAAGGTTTCCTGAAGGACAAACAGCTGAAGGAGGTTTTTATGACACTGTTGAATTAATCATCAACTATCTCTCGCTCTTTGAATTGTTTCTATAAAAAAATGTTCGGATTGTTGCCTTTCTCTGTATTGCATCACTGAAAATTTTAGATTATTTAGACCTTGGATTTTTTAGGCTGACAAACTCTTGTAGACACTCGGGGAACTAAAAATAGTCGAACACCCTTTTTTTCTAGCAAGGCCAGACAACTTTGGGGAAATTGGAGTTTGAACATGTTCAACTACAAACTCAAACACAGAAAAAAATCCCCGTTTCCTCACTAATGTTGGAGGACGGGCCCATGAGAGACGCTGAGTAAGAGGTGGCGATGGGAATTCTGCCTCTTTTTAGTGACGGAGATCATTTGGCTCAGCTCTGCAGTCAGAGTCGGCTCTTTCATCTTCCTAACAGCTCCTCTTTTTGTTCTTTTTGCTTTTAAATTCAACACAATTTTACAACTTTTTGATTACTCTAAGGAAATGTGCATATTAACCACTTGGATTATACTATATTTCATTAATACATGGCATTACAGTCGGGGAAATAGTGCAGAAGAAAGTTATCGCTTAGCACAACTTAGAGCAATTTACAGAAATTGTAAATACCAGATATACCAGAAAAAAACGATTCTTATTAGGGCTAAAATTAAACAACACATGATAGAGAAGCTGTGCATGACATCCAGTACGTTTACATGACACTCAAGAAAACCAAATTATTACCTTACTTCAATGAAGACTCGACAGTTGTAGTGCATGTAAACATCTGACTACGTAATTGGAGTTTAAGAACTCTGATTAAGACACCCAGATAATGCGATTGGAATTCGATTTTCTCTACCATGTAACCGGCATAGTCGCAGTATGATCGGACAATGCATGTGTGCGTGCACCACGCCCCATAACCCTGGAATAAAAACACCAGAGAAGAGGAGTAGCGTGCATTTCATCTGCAGAAAAGTAGCGCGTAAATCATGTACGACAAAAACAACGCTGTACGATGCTCTGTCTTCTTGCTCGAAAATGCCCAGCAGCAGTTGGAGACACTTCTGATGTTGTTGTGGTAACAACTGGAAACAGCGCCACTGAAAAGACCCATATCGCCCCCTAGTTTTGGGGAGGAGGACACGTTCATGTCAATAATTCGATTTCCTCAGCTGCATGTATACCCTGACAAGGAGAGAAGTCCAATTTGGCGTAAAAAAAAGAATTATAAGATTAGTCCGTTTAGATTAAGCTGTGCATGTAATCGTGGTGATGGATTCCGCAGGGGTCTGCAACTAACTTGCTGCTCTCTTCTTGCCTGTCTGTGGAGGACATCTTACATGTGCAAGGAGGAGCAAAGTGTGCTGACTCAGCTCCTTAAAGACTTGTCTTGACCATCCCGCATCACATCAGCCGCTGCTGGAACGGCACAGAGCTTTTCACACATGGACCATAACTAGGAGGTTCGCTTGAGCTCATCGACTGACCATTTTTAGTCTTTTTTTAAAATCCGTACAAGAGTGCTATCCTCGATCAATAAAGGAACAACCATAGACTGTATATAGAATGGACAGAGTCTGCCTCCTTCCTGGATTTAGCCACTCTGAGAACAGCACCCTCTGGTGATGGGCTGCAGTATAGATCATAAATCCCATCTCCGCCAGCAAAACTTACGGGCGTACAAAGGTTGTGTAGCTGTTTGAGCTGAGCGTCATCACAGCGACTCTTGGTGACTCCCCTGCCGAATACACACAACGCTACTGCGCAAGTGGTGGAGTGTGTACAACACGACTGTGCAATGTTGGTTTCAGGAAATGGATAAAAATCGCGGAAATATCGAGAGCTTTTCAGAATCAAATCCGTATACTGACGGAAGGTGGAACCAAGTTGTCCATAGTTTATACAGTCTATGGGAGCAACCATTAAACTTGGACCAAACACTCAAGACTTGACTTGGACTTGCAAAAATGACATGTGTGCAGCTGTGTGCAGTCAAGAGTATCATTTCTAATTAAACAGCCACAGAAAAAAACACATTTCCTTTTCTTCCTCAGTAGAATTTGATTAACTAATTGCTGTTTTTAGAGAATTGAAATAGTACACTGTTACAAAAATGCATCTAAAAGAAATTGCGTACCGTAGCTTTAATCACAAAGCACCTTTGAAAATAGTCTCATCCTCTAAAAGGCGCTCCCCTGCAGGCCGGAGCTGCAGGCAGCCGTCTCCATTGTGCTCTCCTGAGCTCTAATTGCTCTGACATTGATATATTGATGTTTAGACTGCACCTTTAACATTTTATTCATCAGGGGAAGTTTCCCGAGGCCCTCATGTTCTTTATCAGTCACAGCCTGTTTCACATTCATGCGGCTACTTCACATTCATTCACACCTGGCCGACACATCCAGGCCTGCACAGCTGGCTGCGGGGACAGCGGGGCAGTGAAGATGCACCTCTGCGGGGGCTGCAGGGGGAGAGGGTGACCTTGATGTGTCTCCTCGCATTACTCTTCCTCTGCATTACCAGCAAAGCGTGGAATAACTCTGCAAAAGCATCAACGGACACCTGTTTAACAAGTCCCAGCACCAGCCGGAGAGAAATGAAATCAATATTATGGCTTCAGTGTAATTTCTGCGTCCACAAGTTCATTTCACCGCACGTTTTACGCAGCAGAACTGATTATGGAGCACAATGCAGATCCGCTGTCTTTAAAGATTGGTTATTATATACGCAGCGCAGTGCGGTACGAGTTGGAGTGCAGATACTGTAAGCTGTTGAAATGTTACGGTAAGCAGAGAGGAAGCTTCATCCCTCATAATCAATGCTCCTCATCAAAGCTGGTAAAAGCAGGAAAGGGCTTCACAGGAACAGCTGCACACCATCATCTTCATCTTTGTTCTGCTCAACCTTCGATCCAATCTGCAACTCAAAGGAACCTGCAAATTGGTTTTCAAGACACTCAAGCACTTTGCATTCAGTAGGATAAAGTGCATCATCAACAGACTTATTACACTGTATCTATTGTCAGAGCGTATAGGTTCATATTCAAAGATGCAGAACTTTAAGTATCAAAGTATTTCTTCAATAATTTAACCCAAATGATTGAATTCCACCTGATATTTTTATGCACCGATGAAAAAAGTAAAATATGCATGCACAGAGACGTTTGAGCACTCCCTGTCTTTAATTCACTCAGGCAGCACTTGATCTCTCCTTGTGTCTCTGTTGACATTATTAAAAAATGTGCTCTTGCAAGAAATTAAGCTTCATATTACTTTCAACCATGGGATTACTGTGATGCTTTGCATGGCATTGGCTGAAAGTTCCTCCAAAAAACCGTCGTCTTAAAAAAATGGGAGTTCACACTTGATCCAGGGGTGTAGTCAGGGGATAACGACTGGTGCCCACTGCCCCTCATGTTTCTACAGTTTCAACTCTCTCCATTTGGGAGCTAAAACATGGTTTGTTGTTATTTGTGGAGACTTAATGAGGACTAAAGCAGGGCAAAACAAATCCTAAACCAATAAAAGTTGTGAAACCCCAACCAAGCTGACCACATTCACGACCAAAAGCATCATACAGACTACAAGGCCTCCCAAAACTACCTCGCACATGCCATAACAAGACTAATAAATTCACCGATCAAAACCACCCCCCTATCCTCCAAACACAAGCCAAAACTCTTACAAATGCACTCAAGAGCCAAGATAGAGGAACAGCAGATACAAACAAGCTTCTTAAACAGTATAAGAAACTCACCCAAGCAAGTAGTAAATAGGACGAGCCCCCATTTTGTCACAACAAGGCTCAAAAAAGGAGAGAGAAGAGAGAGCAGACTGTGGTGCAGCTCAGCTTTAAAACCAGCTGAGCCCCACCCTGCTCAGGTGTGCCGCATCACCATCAAGCGCTCTCTCAGGTTAGCTCCACCCACAGCTACCTTCAACAAGACACAGAGCCAGCAAAACAGGGGAAAGCAGGATGCACCAAAGACAGACCCTCAGGCCGTCACACTTGCCTCAAGGTAAGCTCCTTTTTAATCTGGTTTCGGTAATTGAAAGAAAAGGTATCATGTAAGTCGGGGCACCCACACACCAACATGATCAGTTTGAACAACTGTCTGTTTTCAAACGTCACCCGGCAACCTTCGTGCTGATTGGTTATTGCGACGCCAGAGTAGTACGAGCGTCTAATCGCATCTTTGCATTGACTTAAATGGACTGGCCTGAGGACTCGCTACAAACAAACGGCTACTGGAAGAGAGTAGGTGAGTTGTGTTTAGTCTCTTTGCTAAAGAAATTAGTCAAAGTTAAAAAGATGTTTGGTGGCTTATGCTTTTGCTGGGACTGTTGATGAAGTTAGGAGCTGTTCTGAGCATTACTTGTGGCTATAGAGTGGCGATTTGGTTGAGGTTTATGGCTATCCTGCGGTCGTTACTAAAGTTGGTATAACTAGAGAAGCAAGCGGTCGGCGACATCATCTCTTGGCGGGGGTGTCTAACTCAGTGTTATGGTGTGTTTGACCCCAACTAAATTTTATGCCGGAATATCCCTTTAACATGTAACTCATTTGTGCGAATGATTTTACTCGCCTTGGACCCGTGACCCAAACTTTGAGACTTCAGTGAGTAAATCCGACTTCTTCTTTCCAGGAATGGCGCCTCACAGATAACAACATCAGGGGGATAAAGGTTCTGTCATCACTGTGTCGTTTGACTGGAGGAGACAGAAGAAGAAAGACTCATTTGACTGACAAATCTTTGATACTCTCATAACAACTGTGACAAGAAAGAGAGAAGTGAAGAATCGCTGTAGCTCACCACGGCTCTCGTGTCGAATATATCTTGGATCTTGAGTGATGGGGAGAGTCTGTTTTTCAGCGGTGCCAGAGTACAGCACCGGTCGAGAGGCAGAGACACACACAGCAACCTAATGAGACAACAAACGGCAGCTGAACCCCATCAGCTCTCCTTTTTGCTCTGGATGTGCCTTTTAGGTTGTGTCAGTTTTCAGCTGAGTGTTCAGAGATGAAAGAGCAGAGCTGAGATGCCACTGAAGCAGCGCCTGAAGAGTCTCTCTTTGTATTATAAGTTGGCTGTTACTTCCAAAGGGAGGAAAATGAAGACTGCACCTTATCTGAACTCTGTCCTCTCTGTTTCTCAGGCTCTTTCTTCTTCATAAAGGTTCACTGCTGTATTTCTGGACCTGTTGCTCTTTATCTCTCTGTGTGCGCTGGGTAAATTCAGTAATTATATTTAAGTCTCTGGATTCAGAACTTTTGATTCGTCCTGTTCCTTTCTTCGAGGAAGTAACATCGCGCTAACATGCTTTAATGATAGAAAATTACTATACTTTCTCAGCAGGCATTTCTCCATTACTTCAGGAGCTAACATACTGTTATAACTTAAGGCTACTGTGTTCAGGATTTACACAGCAGTAGAAAGAGACTTACAAAAATTTAGTGCACAATGGAAAGAAAGAGGGACAAAGGGACATAATTTTAATCATTTACTGTATAAATGTCTGAAATGTCGATTCAAGTGTTTGAGTTTCCCTGAGGTGCTAACATTAACATTGCTAACATGTTAACGTAGAGTTTGATTTAATCCCACAGAAGACAGGTCGTCCTTACATGACGTTTATGACATACAGTATAAGAGAGTATATAATAAAGTATTAAATTTTTTGACCCCATTAGCTTTTTAAAGAGAGCAGCTGACATAACGTTAGCATTCAACAGCTTCTAAGCTACATCTGAGCTTCAGTTATATGATGATTAACTTATAAATGTTAAGTTTATATTTATGAATTATTATTAAACAAAGACGATTACTAAACAGATTTAATTATCAGATAAGAGATGATTATTATATATGTTGGTGGATAAAAAGGGTCTGACTATAGGTGTTACTTTCTCTCCTTTTCAGATACTTAACAAAAATAAGTTTATTTCTTTTCAGTCTGATCAAAATAAACAATTTCAGTTCAGTTAAATAATAGATAGTAAATTAAGTTGGAACCAAAAACAGCTGTGGATATAAAACATTACAACAAGTTTGACCTGTGTTTGTTATCTTAGACAGGGTTAGGGTTAGGGTTTGGGTTTAGTTATCAGGTTATCGGGTTGGACAGGGGTAAGGATTATATTGGAGTTGGGGTTAGGATTAGTGATCAGGTTAGAGGGTTAGACAGGGGTTAGAGTTAGGATTAATGATAGGGTTAGCAGATTAGGGTTGGACAGGGGTTAGGGTTAGATGAGGGTTGGGGTTATGATATAGTAATCAGGTTAGTGTTAGACAGAAGTTAAGGTTGGGATTAGTGATTGGATTAGCCGGTTCGGGTTAGGGTTCAGGAGGGGTAAGGGTTAGACAAAAGTTAGGGTTAGGATATAGTAATTAGGTAAGGGTTAGACAGAGCCTAGGGCAAGGGTAAGACAGGGGTAAAGGAAAGGGTTTGAGTTAGGGTTCGCGGGTTAGGGTTGGACAAGAGTTAGGGTTAGATTAGGCCTGTCGCGATAATCAATAAATCGCCTTATCGCTCGATAAATAAAAACGAGGTCGGTCATTTTGCCAGCCTCGATAATTGACGTGCGTTTGTTTTCCTCCTCTCTCACTACCAAACACGCTGGTTGAGAGAAGAGGTCTCACTCTGCGCATTTTTCTCGGCACCTGGGGGCGTTGGCTCTATAGCGGAATGAACGGAGTTAGTGAACCCTCCTGTCAGTCATTCAGTGTCTTTGTCACGAGGGGGCGCGCGCACAGCTACACGTAGGCGCGCACAGGCACACAGACACAGACTTTTGGATACAGTGCCGCAAGTGAGCGTCGTGAGTGAAAAGCAAGCAAACAGAATGAACACGACAGCTTTGGTGTCTAAACCGAACGCAGCAGCCCAAGTGTGGGAATATTTCGGCTTTAAACCAGTTTTGTTTTCGTCAACCACAAAACTCCACGTGTGTGCGCGCGCGTGTGTCTGTGTTGGAGGAGCACAGCAGGCTGATGAGAGCTGTCAGAGCGGACTGAAGCTGCTCCTATATGTTTAGCGTTTAACTGACTGAGTTTTGCAACTCTGTTCGTCATTTTCGTCTCGTCCCATCAACGTAAACGCACTTTCGTCTCGTCACATTTTAGTCATCTCCGACTTATGTTTAGCTCGTCAACGTTACGTCTTCGTCGTGGGAGAAAAGGGAAATATTTTAGTCAACGAAAACAACCAGTGTTTATCTCGTGTGGAAATTAAAGTTTGTCACTTTTGACACGGTGCACTCGCATTATTATGCCATTTAATATCATTATCTATAATTTAAAAAACGGTGTCAATAATATTGTTTATCGGCTATAATTTGTCGCACAATTATCGTCCAGCAAAATTTGTTATCGTGACAGGCCTAGGTTAGATAGAGGTTAGGGTTAGGGTATAGTAATAAGGTTAGGGATGGAAAGAAGTTTGGGTTGGGATTAATGATTGGGTTGGCCGGTTAGGGTTAGGGTTCGGCAGGGGTAAGGGTTAGACAGAAGTTAGGGTTAGGAGTTAGTAATCAGGTAAGGGTTAGACAGAGCCTAGGGCAAGGGTAAGACAGGGGTAAAGGTAAGGGTTAGAGTTAGGGTTAGAGGCTAAAGGTTAGACAGGAGTTAGGGCAAGGGTTAGGATAAGACGGGTAAAGGTAAGGGTTGAAGTTAGGGTTTAGAGAGTTAAGCTCTGGGTTTCAGGGTTACATTTCAGGATTAGAATAAGACGGGGTGAAAGTAAGGGTTAGAATTAGGGTTAGATGGTCAGGGTTACAGAGTTAGGTTTTCAGGATTGGGGTTAGGATTAACATGGTTAGAATTCAGGGTTTAGATAAAAGGGGTAAATGTCAGGGTTAGGCTTACAGAATTAGGGGTCCAGGGTTGGGGTTAAGGTTAGAAATGCTGATGTGTAGTTTCTTGTAGTTTCAGTTTAAATGTACAACCTTAACCCTCAGGATTTTTACTGTTCTCTCTTTTCATGAGCCAATGAGCCCAAAAAAGGCAAAATAATCCATATCTCTCTGAAAACTCATGATGTCCACACCTGAAACACAGCAGTATAATTCTGTAACAGCTTCTCACCTGAATGTGACATGAGAGGAAAACCAACTATGACTGAATACGGTGAATAAAACCCTCCTGCATGGGTTATTTTTGACTCATCACAGGTTTCCTCCTCCCTCTGAATCTGACGGGCCGCGCTTGGATTGTATTTTTTAAGGATAATAAACTCTACATCTCTCTGTGAAAGAAGAAACACCATCAAGTGACACCAGCTTAACAGATTGTGAAGGATTACCTTCTTCTCTGTGGAGATAAACTGCCGGCTACATTGAAAAAAAGTACCTCACCTTTAAATATTGTATGCTGGTCTTCATGTTAAATTAAGTACCTTCAGCTTGTCCCCAATCCTCCATCGCGTTTCTCTCCTGTCCTGTTTTTTCTCCTAATCCCTCTCAGGGCAGCATTAGTAGAACTAAAGGGAGGTCTGTTGCGTCCCTTTTTTACCTTAGGACCCTGGACGTTTTATCCAGAGCTGAATGGAGATATCAAACATTTCTGACTCTGACATTTTACTTTTAAGAGCTGTGTAATCTGGTGGCAGGGGAGGCCAGCACCAGTCTTCGGAAGAGATGCAACCCTGCAGGGAAATAGTGTTACCGCCGCACTAAGAGGCAGAAATAAGAACACGTCTAAATATACAAGCTGTGAACAAATAATGCTCACATATAGGAACAGTTTTATGTTGAAGAAGCGAGTCACTTCAAGCAAGTACAGAGGTGTTTTTTTCTTAGTTTTGGCCTTTTGTCACATGAAAGTTTAAGGACGCTAAAAACTGAGCTTTATAAAGAAAAAAAAAAAGCCTCTGGAGGTGATGATTCACCTCTCTGTACAACAAACTGTTCTCTATTCATGTTGGACATGACAGAATGATTGCTCATTATCGCCACCTGCTGGTAGGGCATGCTTATGTGGTAATTTTCTGGAATTTTAAATACATGCCCGACTAGAATCACATTAACCCCCAATTTCCACTGCATCCAGAACGGCTACGAAAAGGCCGTATCCGCCGGTCGTAGATGATCATAACCATTCAAGTTAACGTGTCAATTTCCACCGGCTTCTTTCCGTTCCTCTGCAGATTGCCGGACTCCGCAGCTGATCGCAAGAGTTCCATTTTTTCCGGACAGTGCAGCATACCTGATAAACTCAGCACAGATTAACCCGTGCTGGAAAGGAAGTCGGGCACAGACACAAAATAAAACATCTGGCTCCTTTTCAAAATAAAACACCCCGTGTTTCAGGTGGATCGTATTTCACACCGTGCAAATGGGCGGAGACGAACAAGTGAAAGGTTTACAGACGTCATGTCGCCCCGATGACACCATGAATGAGGAAATGCTGATTTTAGAAGTCTAGAGTACATTTCCTTATATGGTTATGTGTCTGTCTTTATAGAGACAACTTGTTATCGCGCAATTACACGTGAATCCGCGGATTCTTCTAAGTCCTTGCAATTCCTGGTGACCATATTCCGCCACGAAATTAGTCTCACAAATGGACCCGGTAGGAATTGGCGTACAGCGAAAATCGCTGCAGTTCTGGATGTGGCGGAAATCCTGGGTACATTTCTTAAAGTCGGACTAACATACCCCAATAATGCATTTGGGAATTGATTTTGTCTCCTCTATGTACGCCTCAATCTGACCTAAGCTAGCGTGAGTGTTCTGGGCATGCTCCTCAGTTTGCACCTCAGGCTTTGACTCAAAAGTTGAACGTCTTATAAATGTGTTTAAGGAAGTTACGGGATGTAAAAAAGAGATGTAAATCTGTCTGTGTTTTCATCGTTTGATAGACAATCCATTTTGCTGATGTGTTTGTCGATTGTTTTGGTACAGTACCTACCTATGTGAAGCACATAAAGCTGAAAAATCCAAACCAGTCAAGAACAGGTCAACCACTTCTCCTACCATGAGCTGAGCAGACCAACTTTAGATTAAACTTTTATTTTGAGTCTAAACAGGTTTGAAATACGGGAAAAATTTCCGCTAGAATAGCCGTTGTTTCATGATCATTTCATGCTCGAGTCTCCTTGTTTGAAAATGTTCTTGACCTCCTACACGTCTGAAATGTTTGTCAGCTGTTTTACAGTTTGGGCAGACTTCAGATGTGATTACACACATGAGAGGACACATAGATTTGAGCAGGAAGGGGCTTTTGTATCGTTGCAGCGGTGTTTTACATGAGTTGTCTGACTGTATTCGGCTCTCAGACAGAGCTGCTATAAAAAAACAAAACTGTTTAACGGAGACAGATCACATATTTTCATCTTTCATGGTCCAGTTGTGTCTCTTCCTTACCTTCCTGGAGTTTTTCTGCTCTTTATGCTTCCCCTGTGTGTTGATTTTCTTTCCTGTTTACTTTCTATATCTGGATGTGTGTTTGCTTATTTATCTCACTCATGAGTCGCTGGATAGCTTCTGATAAACACGGTTCAGTTTGTCGGTTTTGCTGACGAATATTTTCTGCCTGAATATTCTGTTCTCCCGTGTCTACCTGAGCCTCGGGTTTGTCTGCCGGCTGTGATTCTCTAACAGATACTCGCCTGATGTTTGCAGGTCTGTCTTTATTCCACGTCTCAGCCGTCACTGACAGTTTGTTCTGATCCGTATCAGCTCTCCAGACCTCCGCCTTCACATTTTTGCGGTTCGTCTTCAGTGAAGAGTCTTTTGGTTGTGCATTGAGTCCTGCTTGTGGGTGCCATCGGCGGGTCAGCATGTGCTGTGCAGCGATCCACCAATCACCTTTGTCCTTTACTCAGTGACCAATCAGACTCAGTTCTCAGTTGCCAATCAGACTATCCTGCCAGCTGTCAATCAAAATCAGAGCGGAGGAAACCCACCCCTGCACATGTTCTGCACATGGAGTGAGACGCGTGTCCGCTGAGAATTACTTTCGGAACTTTACTGACTGTTAAGCCCAACAAATAAGAACTGTATGGGTTTTAAAATGTATATTTCCGTGGACCACTCTACTATAAGCGGTGCGCGTTTTGCGAGGTGCATGCAATTCTCGGAGGACATGCGTTTCTCGGCACAACACCGCTAACAACAACAACGGTACAGTGATATATGAAAAAAAACATGATTGTCACATGTGTGCACGTGAGTCAGTGGGTTTCACTTCCTTATTGGGGCTCACATTAGGGTGTTAGATGTCTACCACACTGCGCCACCGGAGACCATCCACAGTTGGGGATGAGCTCTGCATGCTTTTATCTTGGTACTTTTGCTCCTGGACTTTAAAATTCATCCTGAATAAGGTTTGAATCCATGACCTCAGGAGTCCAAGTCAATGTTCTTATCCTTTTGAGCCACGTGGACACACAAGCCACATGGCCTACTATAAGGATATAGAGGTATAAGTTTGTCCACAAGGGGGTGCCAAACTCCAGACAGAGGCTTTAAATAAATTATTGCTAACTCAATTCTGGAGTAAAATCACTTTATCCCTTTAGTACATTCATAGTATTTCTCAGTTAATAATAATAATAATAATAATAATGACGAAACCAAAAGCACAAATAATCAAAAAGATTAGGGAGTTAACATCAGCAGCTTTTTTCTTAAAATAAAAACAAACACAAGCTCCAACTTTCAATTGCAATTTATTTCAAGTGACGCTACAATGAAAATCTATGTTTAAAAAACTTATAAACACTCCATTTATATCCCAAACACACACACAATACCTATAGCCTATAGAAATACTAAATGTCTCGAAATACTAAAATGTTTGGTTTATAGATTTTAGTGAGTTCAGAGATCATGCTCTCATACTGCCTGAGCTGACTGTCTGCTGTTTTTGGATTTCTTGTATTTTCTTTGAAGACGCGCTGCGTCTCCAAGCGAGTCCAGCCTCTCACCCGAAATGCGAAGCTGTGCAGCGGCACGCAAAGAATTCTGGGATACCGACGGCACGCTTGAAAAAGAGGCGGGGGTAGTGTGGTTTTGAGACTGAATTTGAAGCGCGCTTAGTATTTTGTGCCAAAAGGGACACCGTTCGTGCCGCGTGATGACCTCACGCACGCTTCAGATGTGCCGTTCGACGGTTGCGGTCTCTAAAATGGGACACAGGAAGGGTACTTAACGGCACATAACGGCACAAAACGGCAGTGCACTCAGCTAAGCGCCGTTAAGCGCGCTTATCCCGATGCGGTCTCTGAAATGAGACACAGCCTTGGTGTAGTGCTTGGTTAAAAACAGATTGCATGATGGGAAAAAAAGGCTGCTAACAGTCATTACAGCCCGTGTTTGGAAGCAGTTTCACTTCCCCTCAAACACGGTAAAGGGATCTTTGACCAAACTGAAGTGATCAGGAGACATTAGACTGACGTTGGGTGAGTGTTTGGACTGTAAATGAGCGCGTCTCAGAGGATTATCACACGATGCGTCTCATCCCGCCTTTCAATCCGTCTCATTTATTTCACTTTCTTTCTCTTTTACTCCCTCAGTCCCCTCTCCAATTCCACCTAAACTCTCCAGCTCGCCCCCGCCGCTCCTTCCCCGCGTCAGAGTTAATTGTTTCCTGCGTTTTTTCCCGTCCTGTTTTTCCTCCATGTTGTCTGTTTGATTGAATCGAGAGGACTTCTCATCGCCACCGCCGTGGGGCTAAACAGGGAGCAGGGTGCCAGGGATAAGGATGGCAAGCCGGAGGGTGACTCAGGCTTCCTCATTTCACACACACACACATACACACTAATACACATGTACACACACACAGAGATAACACTGATACAAGTAGTTTGACAAGTCCAATCATACCTCTGCAGACGCTATATTTAATGTATCTGGACAGAAAAGTAGACCCGCTGTTTCATCACTCTTTGACCTCTGCACCTCATTTGGTGAACACACACATTATGATACACATCTCCCCAAAACAACACAACACACACACACACACACACACACTCACACACCCCCACCAGAGAACCCCCCACTTTAATCTGTTTCCAAATGTTGTTTCCTTCCCTGCGGTGCTGAGCCCGTTTTTCTATTTATGGAGGGGTGTTGAGCTGATGTGAGATGAACGGAAAGTGCCTCTCTCCCATTGTGATTCTCCTTGAGGTGTGTGTGTGTGTATGTGTATGTTTGGATGTGCACATGCATGCTTGTGTGTCGTCTTCTGCAAGTCTATGAGTCTGCTCAGGGGTGTGTGTGCATGTGTGGATGTGCATACCTGCTTACTTTCAGGTCCGTCTGAGTGTTTGTGCACCTCTGTTAGAGTGTTAATTTGTGTGTGTGTTTGTGTGTTTGTGCGTGCTTGCATTGCGGATGATAGTGATATAAACTGGAGCTGGCTCATAGAGAGCAGATGTGCCTTCAATAATGACTAAATGGAGATGCAACGAAGCACCAGCAGCCAGACTAATCAGCGGCTTCAAGTGCACAACTTTCCGAGCAGAAGTGTGTGTTTGTGTGAGTGTATGTGTGTATTTCTTTATTTGTGTATGTGTGTGTGTGTCCCGCAGTACACCAGCACTAAATCCAACCCCCTGTAGAGTTTTTGTGTTTGCGTGCTTGTATTAATAACAAGGTTTGGGCATTCAGTCCCAAACATCCACCAAGTCTTTGACACACAAACACGCAAACACACACATAACACATACGCACACAAAGAAATACACTTCTGTCGTTATTTGGTTCATTTGCACAGACAAGACGAGGCAAAATCCGAGCAGAAAAATGGCCAAAAGAGTCGAGATTTCTGGGCTCTGGAAAGTGTTTCATGTTTAAAGAAGCTGTGAGGGACTTTTGGTTTGTTTTGTTTTTGGCGCCCCCTGTGGACAAATCAATATTTAAGCAGTACTGGTTGTTTTTGGGTTATCTATTATTTCGTGACATGAAAAAAGTAATTATGCAAAAATATGAATATGTAACTTAGTGGTTTGATTTGGTAGAAACTGTTTTAGTCCAAAGACGGAGTAGTTGGTGCCTCATCCGTTTACTCACGTTAAGTATGTTAAAGCTACTTTATGAAACAAACTGAAATGAAGAAGATTCAGTGTTTTTATTCGGTCATTTTTAAAAGCAAACCTTGTGTACTTATTTTTTGAAGACTCACAGTTGTTGAAACCTTTGACAGACAACAGGAAAGTTAGCAGGAAAAGTGAATTAACTCAGGAGGAGGTCAGCAAAGAGTCAGGTCTTCTGATTTGTGTCCACATGGGGGCAACAACTTATACAGGAAGTGTTCATTTCTCGCACTACCTCTAAACTTTCCTCAGGTTTTGCTGCTTTGCCTTCAGCGCTCCTGCTCTCTGGACAAACCTCCTGTTTGAAACGTCTCCTCTCCTCCTCATCTTTGACTGTCTGACCTCCAGGTAAACTTGAACTTTTTATCCTCCCAGCCTGGACTCAGCACCGTCCTTTTGGGTTTACGCCTGTCTCGACCAAGCTTAACAAGTTCAGTAACCGTCACAGTTCGCTCTGGTTAACCGTGAAGTCTGCAGTGAAGAGCTGATACACTCTCCTTTCCTGCTCCTCCAAAGTCGAACCCACGTCATTCACCCATTTGTACTATTTCCAAATATGCACAGGGTTCCAACTTACATTTTATTAGCTCCAGTAAGAGTTACTTTACATTGTTAAAACTTTAACAGCTTTAAAATCTTTTAAAATGCAATATCATTTATTGGAAATGGGATTAATCAAGGGTGAATATATTCTGAATCCCCAAAACAGGACACGACTATGCAGGGCAGCGTCGCACGCAAAATGTTGAGGGTTTTTCATGTGCTTCTAACTCAGTTAATCCATGCAGCACAAAATCAAAACTTAGGTACACTTACAGACATTTGAAGGGTTTTATAAACTCCCCAGGACAGGCCGGACAGCCCCCCAAAAGAGAGGACTTATGGTCACCCAAATTAATTCCAATTAACCTCTGAAATGTTTTGATTAAAGCTCCTGTGAGGAACTTTTGGTTTGTCTCTCTCCTGCTCAAGTAAGAATAATGCCTTAAAACAAAACCTTATCCTGCTGTCTCGTCACTTCATGTGGATATTTGCTGTGGAAAAAAGTAAACAGTCCTTTTGGTCAGTGTGCTGTAAGGCACCTGGTCTGACACACACCCCCTCACAGCGCTTTAAAAAGCTTAAAAAATGACAGTTGAGGAATCATAACTCTTATTGATGATGGTCTTGTTTGCTTTGGAAGGTCACCGAGAGACGCAGAAATGGCAGTTTCAGATTCTCAACCAAAAAATTCTTACAGGAGCTTTAATCTTAAAAACTTTAACTTTTACCCCAGATTTCCACCGCATGTAGAATGGCGCCGAAAAGGCCGTCTGCGCCGATCGCTGCTGATCATTTCCATTTAAGTCAATATGTCAAATTCCAGCGTCTTCTTTTTGGCCCCAGGGGTTCAGGGGGCTTCTCAGTCGATCGCCAGGGTTCTACTTTTTCTGGACGCCGCAGCATGCCGCATAAATTCAGTAAAGATTAACCCGTACTGGAAAGGAAGTCGGGTACAGATACAAAATAAAGCATCCGGCAAAGCATACGTGGTTTGTTTTGTAGATAAAGATAAATATTTCCACTGCATCTGGAATGCAGTGAAAAGGCCGTATGCGCCAAACAAATCAAAGGTCTTCAGACTTCATTTCACCCCGATGACGCCATGGATGAGGAGATGCTGATTCTAGAAGTCTGAAGGTGGATTTCCTCCTCTGGAAGGACATAATCTACAGCTTATATGGTTACATCGCTCTCTTT